ATATGTTCAGGGCTGGCCCCGTGGCTTAGCGGTAAGTGCATGCGCTCTGCTGCCGGTGGCCCAGGGTTCGGATCCCAGGCGCGCACTGATGCACCGCTTCTCTGGCCATGCTGAGGCCGCATCCCACATACAGCACCTAGAAGGATGTGCAGCTATGACATACAACTATCTACTGGGGCTTTGGGGGGGGAATAAATAAATAAAATAAAATAAATAAATAAAGATATGTTCAGCTTGTGAAAATTCATGAGTTGTGTGCTCATTTGTTTATGGATACTGTACTTAAATAATTTACTGGAGAGAGTGTGAGCAGTACAGATTCCTGGACCCCACTCAAGAGATTCTGATGTAACTCTGTGATGAGGTTCACGTTTAACATTTTGAACAAGCACCCTGGGTGATTCTGCTGCAGATCTGACCACACTTTGAGAAATTGTCCTTGTTCTTGGGGAAGGGAATGAAACACAGGGCTGACAGCCCAGAGTCGGGGCTGGTACTGAGAATTGTTTTGGTTCTTGACCCTGTGTTCTCCAGATTGCAGGATACTTGTATGGGGTGAGCCCACCGGATAACCCCCAGGTGAAGGAGATTCGCTGCATTGTGATGGTACCACAGTGGGGCACTCACCAGACCGTGCACCTGCCAGGCCAGCTGCCCCAACATGAGTACCTCAAGGTCAGTGGGGGTGTGGGAGAATGGGGGCTTTCTGCTGTCAGGGTGGTGGAGGGAAGGCAGGCATGTTACTCTCATTGGTGGGATTCCTCTCTGCAGATGGGGCTTTAAATAGCTGTTCACTGCTCTTTGCCTACAGGAGATGGAACCCTTAGGTTGGATCCACACTCAGCCCAATGAGTCCCCCCAGCTGTCACCCCAGGATGTGACCACCCATGCCAAGATCATGGCTGACAACCCATCTTGGGATGGCGAGAAGACCATTATCATCACCTGCAGGTGGGCTTGGGCCCGCTTGGAGGAAATATGGTGGGCAGGCATTGCAGGCCAGGGCCCAGAGTGGTGGCCTGAGCTCTGACTCTGTCCTCGTCCCTCTTCCAGCTTCACACCAGGCTCCTGCACATTGACAGCCTACAAGCTGACACCCAGTGGCTACGAATGGGGCCGCCAGAACACAGACAAGGGCAACAACCCCAAGGGCTACTTACCCTCACACTATGAGAGGGTCCAGATGCTGTTGTCGGACCGTTTCCTCGGCTTCTTTATGGTCCCTGCCCAGTCCTCGTGGAACTACAACTTTATGGGTAGGTAGGGGAGCACAGGAAAGTGGGGATGGGGTTAGGCCATCACCTTTAGCACCTGAGGCCTGACTCTGGTTTGGAGCTGGCCTAGGGGCTTGGGCTGGGTGAGGCAGGTGGACCTTCTTAATACTGGACATTTCCTTCTTCTCCAAGGTGTCCGGCATGATCCCAACATGAAGTATGAGCTACAGCTGGCAAACCCCAAAGAGTTCTACCACGAGGTGCACAGACCCTCCCACTTCCTCAACTTTGCCCTCCTGCAGGAGGGCGAGGTCTACTCTGCTGACCGAGAGGACCTCTATGCCTAGTTGTTTCCTCACCTCCTGCTTCAGACTCCTGAAAGGCTGGAGCCTTTTACCCCCCCAGACGAGCTGGTGACATTCAGCAGCTTGGCCCCTTTTTCATCTATTTTGTGCTTGTTGTTGTGTTGTTGACCTCCTGGTGGCTTGTAATCCTGAACAAAGTATAATAATAAATTTTGTACAAATAGGAGTGTTTGAGTTTTTTTTTTTGCCCCTGAGCTCAAATCCTGGGTGTAGGGATGGCAGGAGGCTGGACTGACTGACAGCAAGGTAGTGGGCTCAGCCTTGGGGGGTGGGGCACAAGGCTTCCCAGGGGCTGAGGCTCAATATCCTCCAGACTCAGGTAACTGAGGGGGGGTTGGGCTTTCACACTCCTGCTTCCTTGACCACATTTGCCATTTTCCCTCCAAAATACTTAGAAACCATCACCACTTTTCAACATCCCTTGGAGCAGTCCTTGCCATTTTCTGTCTCTGGAAGTTCATGGCTTGTTCTCTGCAGCTGTGGTGCCCAGCCAAGCTCCTTAAGCTTTGTGTCACTCCTGGTCAGGGAAACGGGCACATGGTTGGACAGCTGGCTGTCACTGGCCTCAGCCTCTTGTCTGGAGTGCTTGGCAGCCAAGTCAGGCCCCATGACTCCAGGCAGGGGTGGAGCATGGATTGGGCGCTGTGGGGAGGGCTTGACGGAAGTGACCACTTACCCTGAGCCTCAGCTCTTGGCCGCCTGGCTAGGAGTTGGTTGTCCTGCTTCCTGTGACCTTGGGGGCTTGAACAGGGCAGGGTCCAGGATGCCCAGGCCACTGTCTCCTTCCCCTTGATCGCTCCGCCCTGTCGCTTCCAACCCGCCCTGTACTGCTAAGCTGCTTCCTGGGCCGGGACTGTGGCTTTTTCCTGCCCCACTGGGGCTGGGGGCGCGGGGTGTCGCAGCCCTTGACCGTCTGAGAACATGGAGCCCACGAGGGCGCCGCCCGGGGCGCACGGCTGGGGGCCTCAAGTGGCCGCGGGGTCGGGGACGGCCGCGGAGCTCGTGTACCATCTAGCGGGAGCCCTGGGCACTGAGCTGAAGGATCTGGCGCGCCGCTTCGGGCCGGAGGCGGCGGCCGGGCTCGTGCCGCTCGTGGTGCGGGCGCTGGAGCTCCTGGAAAAGGCTGCCGTGGGGCCCGCCCCGGACTCGGTGAGTCACTGCGCCCTCCCTCGCCAGCGCGGGTCCAGTGGGGCCCAGTCCTGAGAACCTGGACTCCCCAGCTGCAGGTGTCGGCGCAGCAGGCCGAACTGGAGCTGCGGCGGCTGCGGGAGGAGAACGAGCACCTCCGCAGACAGCTGCGCTCTGGGCCACAGGGTGAGCGCGGGCCCGGCCAGAGGGACAGGGCGGGGGCAGGCCCAGGGCCTCCCTCCCGCGGTCCGCCGCTAAGAACGCCCCTTCCTCAGAGGATCGAGCTCTGCTGCGGCAGCTCAAGGAGGTGACCGACCGACAGCGGGATGAACTCCGGGCGCACAACCGCGACCTGCTGCAGCGCAGCCAGGAGACCGAAGCCGTGAGGGCGGGGCGAGGCGACGGGCGCGGGGCGGGGCTCCCTCCGCTCGGCGCCTCGCCCACCAGCCCCACTCTCTGCCCCGCCCCCAGTTGCAGGAACAGCTGCAGCGCCTCCTGCTGGTGAACGCAGAGTTGCGGCACAAGCTGGCCTTGGTGCAAACCCAGCTGCGCGCAGCGCGGGACCGCGAGAGCCAGCCAGAGCCGCGGAGCCAAGGGGCCGTGCAGCTGGCTCAGGAGCGGGAGCGGGACCAGGCCGGGGGGCCCGGGTGCGAGCAGAGGCAGGAGCCCGAGCCGGCGACTGCCGGCGCAGGAGCCCCGGGGACCCCTGAGGATCCGGCAAGTGCCCGATGATGTCAGTGACCCATTCCAGGACTCACAGCCTGCAGCACTTGGTGGGCACTCGGGAGAGGTTTGCCGTGCAGGCCCACTGGGAAGTTGGAAGGTGGCGCACAGTGTGCGCCCCCAGCCGGCCTCCTCCCCAATAGAGCATTGGCCTGTCATCTATTGTAGCTCTCTTGCCTCCCAAGTCTCCCTGCTAGTCACATCCTCTCGCCTTCCTGTGATGGCCGGGGGGCAGGGGAGGGCCCGCTGAGGCTCCCCTCTGACCCAGCCTGTCCTTCCGCAGGCCGATGCCCCGCAGCAGCCAGGGCGCCCCTCCAAGGTAGGGCAGTGCAACTTCAGTCGAGAGGAGCTTGAGCAGATCCTTCAGGAGCGGAATGAGCTCAAAGCCAACGTGTTCCTGCTGAAGGAGGAGTTGGCCTACTTCCAGCGGTGAGGGCGCCAGGCAGGGGCTGGGAAGCTGAGTGGGGCTCCACTCACACCTGCTCCTGGGCCTCAGGTCCCTGGCCTCATTCTTTGGTTCATTGATGTATTCACAGTGCCATGTGCCAGACCCTGTGCTGGGCACTGGGAGGACGTGAATCACACAGCCCCTGTCCTCCTGGAACTTCATCCAAATGCAGGAGGGGGCGGTGCAAAGGGTAACAGCCACTGCAGCAGCAGTCAAGGAAGTATTTCTAGGAGGGGTGACACCTAAGCTAAGGTCTGAGGGGTGATAGCAAGGCAGAGTGTTTCAAAAGGGGGGAACAACATGCACAGGTGCTTGAGTGAGACCTGCTGTTGGCATCCCCACTGCTTTTCCCTGCCCCTCCTGCTCCTCTGTAGGGAGCTGCTCTCAGACCACCGGGTACCCGGGCTTCTCCTAGAAGCCATGAAGGTGGCTGTCAGGAAGCAGCGGAAGAAGATCAAGGCCAAGATGTTAGGGACCCCAGAGGAAGCAGAGAGCAGGTAAGTCCCTGCCTCCATTCCCTCTAAGCCAGCCTCCCTCTCTTGTTCTGCTGAGCCTGATGACACGACATGGTTATGCTCTGCCCAACCTAGCAACCTCATGAGCCTGCTGACCCAGCCTCATCATCTTCTCAGTCTGTTGTCTCAGACTGATGCTGTCTCCCCAGTCTAGTGACCCCTTGAGCCTGTCACCTAGCCTAGTCACTCTTGAACCTGCTAACCTGGCCTGGTCACCCCCTGAGCCTGCTGTCCAGCCTGCCCTGCTGAGCCTACCATTCTGGCTTGGTCACCCCTTGGGCCTGATTATCTAGTCTGGTCACCCCCTGAGCCTACCATCCAGTCTGCCCTTCTGAGCCTGCCGCCCTCCTCTCTGGACCGCACTGCTCCCACTTGCCACGCTCGCTGTGCATACTCCTGAAGAAACCTGCTAACACTGCTCCTCCACATTTATTTTTCGGTTCCCTGTCTTGGCTAGATCTGTTTGTTCTCAGAGAGGTTAGACTGTACGGTAGTTCCCCCTCATCCGCAGTTTCGCTTTCTGAGCGAAGTCAACCATAGTCAACCACAGTCCAAAAATATTAAATAGAAAATTCCACAAATAAACAATTCATAAGTTTTAAATTGCGGTCCATTGTGAGTAGCATGATGAAATCTTGTGCTGTCCTTCTCCTCCTCCCCCGGGATGTGAATCATCCGTTTGTCCAGCATATCCACGCTGTATACTCTACCTGCCCATTAGTCATGTAGCAGCCCTCTCAGTTATCAGATCAACTTCACGGTATCACAGTACGTGTGTTCAAGTAATCCTTATTTTACTTAGTAATGGCCCCAAAGCACGGGAGTAGTGATGCTGGCAATTTGGTTATGCCAAAGAGAAGACGTCAAGTGCTTCCTTTAAGTAAAAAAGTGAAAGTTCTCAACTGAAAAAGGAAAGAAAAAAATCATATGCTCAGGTTGCTAACATCTACAATAACTCGTATTACAGTATATTGCTATACAGTCATGTGTCACTTAACAATGGGAATATGTTCTGAGAAATGCCTTGTTAGGCGATTTTGTTGTGCAAACATCACAGAGTGTACTGAAAGGGAACAAAACTTCGCACCCCAGAGGCCGGCCCCATGGTGCAGTGATTAAGTGCGTGCGCTCCACTGCTGGTGGCCCGGGTTCGGATCCCAGACGCGCACCGACGCACTGCTTGTCAGGCCATGCTGTGGCGGTGTCCCATATAAAGTAAAGGAAGATGGGCACGGATGTTAGCCCAGGGCCAGTCTTCCTCAGCAAAAAGAGGAGGATTGGCATGGATGTTAGCTCAGAGCTGATCTTCCTCACAAAAAAAAACAAAAAAAAAACTTGCCACCCCAAAATATATCTCTTTAACATGAGAATTATTTTTAAGAAACAAAAGATTCAGAGCCTGCCCTAATGGTCTAGTGGTTAAAGTTCGGCATGCTCCACTTCAGTGGCCCTGGTTCAGTTCCCCGGGACAGAACCATACCACTCGTCTGACAGTAGTTATGCTGTAGTGGCAGATTACACAGAAGAACTAGAAGGACCTACAACTAGAATATACAACTATGTACTGGGGCTTTGGGGAGGGGAAAAAATATGTATATATCCTGTAAAAGATTCAGAAAGTTTTTCTTGTTACTTCCCTCTTACCTGCCTAAAAGAATTCAGATTAAAAAAACCTGTCTCAGGGGGCCATCCAGTGGTGTAGTGGTTAAGTCTGTGGGCTCCACTTCGGTGGCCCAGGGTTCACAGGTTCAGATTCCAGGCACAGACCTACACACTGCTCATCAAGCCATGCTGTGGCGGTGTCCCACATACAAAATAGAGGAAGACTGGCACAGATGTTAGCTCAGGGACAATCTTCCTCACCAAAAAAAAAACAAACAAAAACAAACAAACCACCTGTCTCAGGAAGCAGCTATCACCTTAGCATAATGAACTATGTGATAGACAGGGAGGAACCTAGAAAAGCCTGTTTGTTGCGTTCCCCTCTGTGTTCTTCTGTTTCTGTGTGGCCAGACACTTGTTTTCCAAATGTTTGTTGCTTTTCACCTACCTGTGAATTACCTTTCTTTCCTTTGAAGTCCCTGACTCTCCCCACCCACAATATCTTTCGTTTTTAGCTAAGGCTGGAATTTAAGGTGAGGGCTTCAGCCATTTTGTCTACTTACTCGGTTTTCTTGAGTTTCTCCCATGGGTACACGTTTTAAACTTTTGTTTAATCTGTTTAATGTCAATATAATTCTCAGACCAGCCAGAAGAACCTAGAAGAGTAGAGGAAAATTTATTTCTCCCCTACAGTACTTACACAAACCTAGATGGTATAGCCTACCACACAGCTAGGCTATATGGTACTAATGTTAAGGGACCACCATTGTATCTTCAGTCTGTCATTGAAACATCATTATGTAGCGCATGACTGTAATTGTTCTATTTTATTGTTAGTTATTGTTGTTAATCTCTTACTGTGCCTAATTTATAAATTAAACTTTACCATAGGTATGTATGTATAGGGAAAAACATACTACATATAGGATTCAGTACTATCTGTAGTTTTGGGCATCCACTGGGGGTCTTGGAATGTATCCCCCACAGATAAGGGGGCCTAATGTAGCTGCAGCCTTGTCAGGGGCCTGCTATCTGTCAGGTTATAAAATAAAAGCCTCAAGATGGCCTTCATCTCCCCAGCGCCTCCTCTCCAGCCTTGGGGGCCCTGTGTCACTCTGTCCTCCCCTGCCTGGTCCTGGGGGCTGTACAGAAGAATGAACACAGGTAGATTCCCATGGTCCCTCAGGGCCTTGATAAATGACCCTTACATCTCCTTTCTCCTCTCTCCCTGCCTCAGTGACGATGAGGATGGCTCATGGCTCCTGCTCTCCGGCGATAAGGGAGACCACCCCCCACCCCCTGAGTCCAGAATACAGAGTTTGTATGTTGGGAAAGGAGGAAGGGCAAAAGTGGGGTGAAGGAGGGGCCCCACCATGGTTCTTTTCAGCATCCCCTTCCCACTCCACTGATGCTCACCCTGCTGTCCTGTCCCCTCCTGCTTCTCTGGCCCTGGCCCATTCTCCTCCCCACTACCTCACGCTGCCCTTTCTTCCTGTTGTATCTCCTTTCCTCCCCACCCCCTGTCCTCGGGCCTTATCCTTGACATCTCTGGCATCCAGGCTCAAAGTACCTCTTGACTCTCCCCCCAGCTTTGGCCTGTGGTATCGGGGTGAAGCAGAGGCCCCTGAAGCCGAGACCAGCAGCACAGCTCCCAGCGAGCTGGGGGGAAAAGAGGAGGCCCCACAGCACCCCCCCTTGGAACCTGTGGGCAGCCCTACAGCCCCCAACTACTGACCAGCCCTGCTTTGCTGTCGAAGAACATCTTTGTTTGGGGGTCTCAGCTGCCCCAGGAGCCTGCCTTTGGTGCCCAACTGTGGGAGGATGTGTGACCTCAAATGAAGACAGGGCTCCCTCCTTCCCAGCCCTCACCAGGCTCTTTCTCAATCCTGGCCTGAGCCAGGGCATGACAGGGAGCTCAGCCTACTCCCTTCCCTCTGTCTCTGTGCCAAGCCTCCAGGGCCAGATAAAAGTGCTGCCTCTCTGAGTCTCAGTTTCCCCCTCCATGAAACGGAGAGCTGACTACCTACCTCCCAGGGGTTTGTGCGGATGGCCTAAGCTAATGTAATAAAGCAACTGCCCATGATACTCAGAACTGCTCCATGTCTGTCTGTCAGCGGTCAGCCCCCACCCAGCTCCGCCAGGAGCCACGGCAGGCTGCCGTTTCCTCACAGGGTCTCCTTGGTTGTCACCAGGTGTGGAGGCTTCTCCCAGCTGAGGCCTCGCTTGGAGAGTATGGCCTAATGGAAAGCTGTGGCTCTCCTATGGCTTACCCTCTCACCCCACCCCCTTGCCTGTCCCCAATACTGGGGAGAGAGGGAGATGGGACACGACAACTTACACCTTCTTCTTCCTGCCCCCTCCAGACTGAGACCAGCTCCTTAAGCCCCCACTCAGCCCTCACCATTGGCTTTCCTTTCCTTTTTGTTTTTTTCTGGAGCTGGTCTTCCCAGCACCCGCCCGCCCTCTCAGGGAGGTGCCTCATGGCAGCCCGCCCCTCCGGCCTGGTTTCCTCAGGAAAAGCCTTAGGAGGAAGCAGGAAGGGGGTTGGGAGCTGTGGGGGCCAGACTAACCTAAGCCCTCCCGCTGCACTGGCCGCCATGGGGCTGGGGCTGCTGCTCCCACTGCTGCTGCTATGGACTTGGGGGACCCAGGGGTCCAAGCTGGACCCCAATGGGCAGCACGTCTGCATAGCCAGCAGGTGGGTCTTGTGGGAGTCTGATGGGGGGGTGGCTGAACTGGTGTTGAGGCAGTGGGGGGAAGGAGGATGTGAGGGAACAGGTCATGGGGCTGAAAGGAGTGGGGCTTGGGGACAGCCTGGAGGGTTGTGGATAGCCCGGGCAGATGCTGAGAAGGCCAGGGAAGGAGAGGGAAGGGATTGGGGGCACTGAGGCTGTGACACTTGACGAGGCCTGCCTGATGGGGCTGAGGCAGCCTCCCACATCTCAGCCAAAGATAGCAATCCACCTGCGGAGCCAGGCTACCTGGCACCCCCCCACACCCCAACCCACCCCGACCCCGGGCTGACCCCTCTCTGCCCCACAGCTCCTCTGCTGAGCTCCAGTGCTGCCCAGGCTGGAGGCAGAAAGATCAAGAATGCACTATCCGTGAGTAGCCAGGATGGACCCCCACCCGTGGAGAAGGGAGGACATAGCCCAGTGACCCCTTCTTCCTACCCTCTTGGGGCCTGTTTCCTCTCCTGAGCCCTAGAGCCAGAGTCCACCCTGTGACACACACCCTCAGCTCCACGGGAACTGGCTTTTGAGGGGCAGGGCACCCGGAGCCAGTGCAAGGGGCAGAGTGTCCCCTGGTCTCACTCCGGTCCTTCTGACCTGGGCGGGGTGTTTTTCAGCCATCTGTGAGGGGCAGGATGCCTGCCGGGAAGACGAGGTATGCGTGAAACCAGGCCTCTGTCGGTGCAAACCTGGATTCTTCGGGGCCCAGTGCAACTCCCGTGAGTCCTGGGTCTCGACTGGAGGATGAAGTTGCTGGGCAGAACTGGGGGCGCGAGGAGGCAAAGCAGGTGGAAAAGTAATCGTAGAACAGCAGGGCCAGAATCCTTTCAAGCTTCACTGAGGAAATTGAGACCCAGAGACAGGAAATGACGCACTCCTGGGAGATGCCGTGAATCATCTGGTTTTTACTCATATCCACAAAGCCCTACCCACAGGTTCAGTTCTGGGCCCTTCACCTTCCCTTTCAACTTCTCGGAAAGGATGCTGGTGATTCCCGCAAATTGCAAAATGGATGCTTCACAGTGCCCCCCACATACACCTTGTCTATGTGTGGAGGGTGGAGGGAGGCCCCTCTCTGGGCTGTCTGTCCTCTCTGGCAGAAAGAGGGGCGTGGGAAAGGGGTGGTGGGCAGGATAGCCAGAGGGCAGCCACCAGGCATCAGAGTTGAGAGGAGACCTTGGGGAAATGTGGCTTCTCCTACGCCTCTGATGGGCAGCGTCCAGGCCGGAGAGACACCCAGCTCACCCCTAGTCCGGTGGGGGAACCTAATGAGAGGGAGGAGGGGCACGAATGAAGTCCCACCCACTTCTGTGTGACTCTGGGCAAGTCCCGTTCCCACTCAGGATCTTCGTGTGTTTTGGAATGTGAAGTGGGAGGCTGGGCCACCGCTAAGAGTTTTTGTAGTTCAGAGTCTGGGGCAGGAAGTGAGCTGTGCCCCAGGAGGATAGGCTGCCAGATGTTCCAAGGGTCTGTCCTGGCTGTTGGAGGGCGGGCCTTTCTTGTGGAAGGGGAAGCGGGGCGGGGATCCGTGCCTGGCCCCGAGCACGCTGACCTCCTTCCGTCCCCTCCTCCCCGCCACTCCCAGGCTGCCCGGGCCAGTACTGGGGCCCCGACTGCCGTGAGAGCTGCGCCTGCCACCCGCACGGCCAGTGCGAGCCGGCCACGGGCGTGTGCCACTGCCAAGCCGACCGCTGGGGCGAACGCTGCGAGTTCGCGTGCACCTGCGGCCCCCACGGGCGATGCGACCCCGCGACGGGCGCGTGCCGCTGCGAGCCCGGCTGGTGGTTGCCCACGTGTCGCCGCCCGTGCCAGTGCAACCCGGCGGCGGCACGCTGCGATCAGGCCACCGGCTCCTGCCTGTGCGAGCCGGGCTGGTGGGGCCGCCGCTGCAGCTTCCGCTGCGCCTGCCACCGCTCGCCGTGCGCGCAGGAGACGGGCCGCTGCGCCTGCCTGCCGGGCTGGTGGGGTCCCGAGTGCCGGCAGCAGTGCGAGTGCGTGCGCGGCCGCTGCAGCGCCGCCTCCGGCCAGTGCGCCTGCCCGCCCGGCTTCCGCGGCGCGCGCTGCGAGCTGCGCTGCCCCGCCGGCAGCTACGGGGCGCAGTGCCGCCACAGGTGAGCCGGGGCGCGGGCCGGGGCTGCGGGCAGAGCGAGGGCGGGAGGGGCGGGGGGCCGAGGGAGACGCAGGAGAGGGAGATGCTGGAGAGGGGTAGGGGATGTGAATGAGAAAAGGGAGGGGAGGAGGGAGTGCGAAGGAGGGGAAGGGGATGAGAGAGAAAGGGGAGGAGGTGGGAAGAAGTGGGGGCCAGGGAGAAGGTTGCACGGTGCTCGCCACAAAAATATACACGGACGGGGTGCAAGGGGCGAAAAGACCCTCGATGCCCCTAAGTCCAGCCTTGCCCACTCCTTTCATCCGGTTACTGTTAAAACCAAAAAATACTAGTACGTACTAGCAAACCATACTTAGAAACAGATGGAGAATGAATCACGTGACAGAATGACTGCAGGGTCCCTTTGAGACTCAGTGGCTTTCAAACTTTGACCGGCTCCACCCACATCAAGAAATACATCCCACCTAAAACACACACACACACATGCACGCACGCACGCACACACACATGTATATAACTGAAGTAAAAGCTTAACCAGACAACACATACTTATCTTTACTACATATACAATATATAATATATGTACATATATATTGTATATATTCTGTAATGTTTTTTGTTCTCTCTTTTTTTTTTTTAATGAGTTTTAAAGATTTTATTTATTCATGTTTTTCCCCCCAAAGCCCCAGTAGATAGTTGTCTGTCGTAGGTTCACATCCTTCTAGTTGCTGTACGTGGGACTCGGCCTCGCGTTGGACGGAGAAGTGGTGCCTTGGGGCGCGCCCGGGATCCGAACCCTGGCCGCCAGCATCAGAGCGCACGCACTTAACCGCTAAGCCACGGAGCCAGCCCTGTTCTCTCTTATTTTTTGTTTTTGATGCTGGTCAGGATCCGCTAAATTGAGTTTATGAACTCCCCTCCTCCCCCCGTAATGAGTCTGATCCAAGCATATGATCCCAGATAATTAAGTGTCTGGATGGAGAAACTTCAAGTAATTGTTAAGGATCAATGAGAAATTAAGATAGGGGCCGGCCCCGTGGCGTAGTGGTTAAGTGCATGTGCTGTGCTGCTGGCTGGCTGGGTTCGCATCCCAGGCATGCACCGATGCACTGCTTGTCAGGCCAGGCTGTGGTGGCATCCCATGTAAAGAGGAGAAAGATGGGCATGGATGTTAGCTCAGGGCTGATCTTCCTCACCAAAAAAGAAAAGGTTTATCTTATCTTAATTTCTTTTTTTTTTTGGTGAGGAAGATCAGCCCTGAGCTAACATCCATGCCAATCCTCCTCTTTCTGCTGAGGAAGACTGGCCCTGAGCTAACATCTATTGCCAATCCTCCTCCTTTTTTTCCCAAAGCCCCCAGTAGATAGTTGTATGTCATAGTTGCACATCCTTCTAGTTGCTGTATGTGGGACGCTGCCTCAGCATGGCTGGAGAAGTGGTGCCTCGGTGCGCGCCCAGGATCCGAAGCCGGGCCACCAGTAGTGGAGCACGCACACTTAACTGCTAAGCCACGGGGCCGGCCCTCTTTATGTAGTTTTTTTTGTGTGTGAGGAAGATCAGCCCTGAGCTAACATCCATGCCAATCCTCCTCTTTTTGCTGAGGAAGATTGGCCCTGAGCTAACATCCCTGCCTATCTTCCTCCACTTTATATGGGATGCTGCCACAGCATGGCCTGACAAGCGGTGCGTGGATGTGCGCCCTGGATCCGAATCCAGGCTGCCAGCAGCGGAGCGCGTGCACTTAACCGCTATGCCACAGGGCCGACCCCTTAAAATAAGATAAACCTTATTGGAAAAGTTGCTAAGAGAGCAGATCCTAAGAGTTCTCATCCCAGGGGGAAAAAAAACGTTTTTTTTTTTCTTTTTTCTATCTATATAAGATGATAGATGTTAACCAAACTTTTGTGGTAATCATTTCACAATATATGTAAGTCAAGTCATTATGCTGTACACCTTAAACTTATACAGCGCTGTATGTCAATTATATCGCAACAAAACTGGGAAAAAATTTTAAAGATAAGATAAACCTGAAATTATAGTGGTGAAGACAGACATTTTATGTTTTTATTTTTATGCATTTTCATGTACTGGGATAGAAGATAAACTCCTGAGGCCCATTCCTACCAGACCTCAGGGAGGCGTGGGTGGAAGGGAGAAAATGGAAAGGAGGAGTGGGGGAGTGCTGGGCAGAAGGCACGCTGAGGCTGGGGGGGGTGACTTGGCTGCTCTGGCTGGGCTGGGTGCTCCTGGTGACCCTAAGACCCAGGGAAAGATGAGTCTCAGAATGGGGGGTGGAAGGAGAGGGCTGGAATCCTATTAGAGCCTGCAGAGATCATCTGTCCAACCTCTTTATAGTACAATATGGGGAAACTGAGGCTCAAAGCTGCCCTAGTGATCCAGCTGGGACTGGGATGCTCTCCATTGCCCCTGGAGGCCGGGGGGGAGCACTCTATCCATCTGCCCCCCAGTGTTCCCATGAACTCCTCTCCCCAGCTGTGGCCACTGCAAGCGGAATGAGCCATGCTCTGCAGACACAGGCAGCTGTGAGTCCTGCGAACCAGGCTGGAATGGGACCCAGTGCCACCAGCCCTGCTCACCTGGCACCTTTGGCGAGAGCTGCAGGCAGCAGTGCCCACACTGCCGGCTTGGGGAGGCCTGTCAGCCGGACACTGGGCACTGTGAGCACTGCGACCCTGGCTGGCTAGGACCCAGGTGAGGGGGCCAGGTTGCTCAGGGTGGGTTCCACCTTCCTTTGGGATCCTCACCCCAGCTGCTCCCTCTGGGATAGCTGCCCCTCCCCAACACACCCACTCACACAGCCCTCTGAGGCCTGCCTCCTGGCAAAGACTCTGAGGAGAGAGATGGGTGCTGATGAGGCCCTGGGCAGGGTTCTCTTCCAGCTCCCCCACCATTCAGGCTTCCTGCTCTCTTCTCTCTCCAGGGATCTGTCACCTATTGGGTTTGTCCCCAGGTTCAAGGCCCTGTTTGCACCTGAGCTTCACTGCTGAGGAGTGGACAACAGGGTCCCTGAGTCCAGAAGCATGGGGGAAGATGGGTAGGGCCCCCCTTTAGGGGCAGGCCTGCCCTGCCCCTCCATTCTGAGTCTTGCCTCACCTCAGGTGTGAAGACCCCTGCCCAAATGGCACCTTTGGGGAGGGCTGTGGCTTTACCTGCCCTCCCTGTGTTCAGGGGGCGTGTGATGCTGTGACTGGGGAATGCGTCTGCAACGCTGGCTACTGGGGGCCCAGGTGAGCACTGGGGCCCTGGCAGGGAGGCAGGGGCCTCGGTCAGCCCTCTGCAATCTGTTTCCTACACTTCCCTTCTTGGGCTTCTCCACCTCCAGGGTACCCCTCCAGCAGCCTTATAACTAAGAAGTTATTCCTTCTGTTGTGGGGTCTGCATCTTCCAAAGGAGGGTCAGAGTGATGCTTCATCTAAAAGGCCTGGCTCCCTAACTAGATAGGGGAGTTATTTAGGGGTAGGGCTGCAGATCCCATTGTTGTTTCCCTGATGTCTTCAGGTGTTAAAACATAATCAATGTCAATGTCTCAATGTCAGGTTTTCCACCTATACGACAGAATGTAGGATGAGATGGAAGAGATCTCATTTTATAGAGGAGATGACCGAGGCCCAGAGAGTTAGGGCCAGGGCTGGGCCTGGCTGAGACCTCCAGACCCAAGGATGTTTCTCTAAATGGCATTGGCATCTTGCTTATTTCACATTAGTGCTGGGGGGCAAGGCATGAGGATCATGAGCTGTGGACTCTGCCCAAGTGTTACCCCCTGGGGGGCTGGGGGCAAGGGAGCAGCTTGGCAGCTTGTGGGAGGTCTCTCTGGAAGACTGGCTTAGGGGCTGAGGGATTCTCCCAAATGCTGCCAGGGGTACATAGAATGTGGCTCAGAGGTTGGAGGAGTCTGCTTGGGCATCATCCAAGGAAGTCTGCGTGGCAGAGGGTGGGGAGCAGTGCCCAGATATCCACCTTCCCCTGTCCCCTGCCCACCTCCGTCCCTGCTCACCCAGCCTTCAGCCTGTCTCTGCTCATCACCTCACAGCTGCAACACTTCGTGCCCACCTGGCTTCCATGGAAACAACTGCTCTATTCCCTGCGAATGCCCAGAGGGACCCTGCCACCCTGTCTCTGGGGCCTGCCAGCTGGGTAAGGTGGAAGGGAGGGTGCGGGGTGCAGTAACCAGGGAAAGACTGGCCCTTTGCACGGGCTCCAGGCGCTCGTCACTTGCCAGGGAGGCTGGGCCCACTTCAGAGATATTCAATGCCTGAAATCAGTATGGATGCTTTGGGGGCCCCTGAAGATGTGACAGAACCCCTGCCCCCTGAGAAACCAGGCTAAGGCCCAGGAAATGAGCAGGCAGGTCTGGACACTGCGATGTGCATCAGGCATGAGAATTGGGGGCAAGAACTTGTGGAACAGGCCATGGACCCTCAGGAGGCGACAGACCAGCATGGAGGCTGCCTGGAGGAGGGGACCTTCAGGCTGAGCAGAGTCTACATCTCTCAGAAGAGGGGGAGGGACCCAAGGTGGAAGATTCTGGGAAGGAGGCAACTCAGAGCTAGAGATGAGGCATAATGTATGGGAGACAGGAAGACCCTGAATATTTGACCATCCCCTGCTTCCCGTAGGGTCTCACAGTCAGGATGCTGCCGTCATCGCGGGCATCCTTGTGCCTCTGCTGCTGCTCCTCCTGGGCCTCGCCTGCTGTGCCTGCTGCTGCTGGGCCGCTCGACTGGACCCCAAGGACAGGTGAACACTAGCTTGTCCTTCCCACCCCACAGCTCAGGCCATGGCATGGGAGCAAGGTCGCATCTCGTTTCTTTCTGGAGGTGGGAAAGGCCTGGCCTTGTTACACACTTAGGTCTGAGGTGATGAAATAGGTGGCAGTGGCCGTGGCCTGGTCACCAGATCAGCTGCCTGCCTTCCTCAGAAGCCTTCAGTGGGAGAGTTTCCTGGTCGCATGAGCATGAGCAGGGGGCACCGGGCACCAGGCTGGTGAAACTCAAGCCCACAGCAGGAAGCGGAGGGTCTCTTAATGGGGAGCAGAGGAGGAGGGTGGGGAAGGCAGAAGCAGCCAGGTAGCTCTGGGCAGGGAGGGGAAGAGACCAGGCCTCAAACTCCCCAGAAAGGAGAGTGACACAGAAGTCTGAGCAGTGGTTAGCAGAGAATGTGGCTTTCCGAGAAAAGGAGAGAAGAGGAAGGATTTGGGCTTATGGGGCCTGCTGCAGGGGAACGTGGCTCGCCCGGAGCTCTGTTCCTTTGCAAAATCTCTTCACATTTCTTGGCTCCTCGGAGGCCCACAGTAGCATGGAGGTTTGGAGCAGGGAATGTGGGGGGCGGGAGGATTAGCATTCTCCATTCATGGAGGAGGACACCGAGGCCCAAGGTGACCCAGCTAGTCCCTGGTATGCACAAAGCCCGTGCCCTGTGTTCTGGACTCTGTCCGGTGCTGTCTTATTAGTTCATGCACAATCCTCGAGCACGTCCTCCTCCTCTGTGCTGTGGGGCATTCACAGACGAGCAGACCCAGCAGCCCCTCCCCTGGGGCATAGAGCCTGGGGGTGCAGAAGAAGCCTCTCATGTGAGGACAAGGACATGTGCAAAGGCTGTCAGAGGAATGGTGATGGGTGAAGCCATCACTTCCAGCTTGACAGTGGGGGCAAGAGCAGGCTTCCTGGAGGTGGTGCCACCTCCAGAGAGATAGGTGAGCTGGGACTCAGCTTGGATGCTAATAACACAGAGCTGCATTTTAGGGAACTCTACCAGGTGCCTGGCGCTGTGCCGGGTCCTGCAAAAAGCTCTGATAGATAGGAGCTGTTGTCCCCATTTCATGGATGAAGAGACTGAGGCCCAGAGAGGTGAAGTCTAAACAGAGTTGCTACCCAGTTCTCTTTGACTCTAGAGCCACACTGCCCTCTGTGGCAGGCCCCAATCTCAGGCCTGTGATGTCAACGGTTTGGAATTTACTCTGCAGTCATAGGGAGCCATTGACCTAAACATAGTCCCCCTGGCACCCTGTCTCCCTCACACTAACCCCGGGACCAGGATGGTCCTGGCCCTCTTCTCCTGCCCCCCCTCTGCCCCAACCAGGAGTCGTGCACTGACCACCCTCCCATGTCCTCAGGCCAGTGAGAGATGGAGCTGCTGTGTCCAGGATGAAGCTGCAGGTCTGGGGGGCACTGACCAGCCTGGGCTCCGCACTGCCCTGTGGTTCCCTCAGCAGCCACAAGCTTCCCTGGGTGACAGGTAAGTGGGTGCTGAGGGTCAGGGGCTCGGATGGGACAAGGCTTCCCATCGGGCTCTGTGCCTGACCTGGAGGATCCTACAGTCTCACACCACGACCCGGAGACCCCCTTCAACCACAGCTTCATCGAGCCACCCTCTGCCGGCTGGGCCTCGGACGACTCCTTCTCTTCGGATCCCGAGTCTGGAGAGGAGGATGAGGGTCCTGCCTACTGCGTGCCACCCCAAGAAGGTAGCTCCCAACAGCCCACTCAGTCCCTGAGCAGCCCTGCCCACCACAACCTCTTCCTTAGTCCTTCAGCAGACATGTATCAAGCGCCCATTCTGTGCCAGTCACTGTTCCTGGCTGTGGGACACAGGAAGGAACAAGACAGATTCCTGCCCTCACCACGCTTATGGTCTTGTGGGCAGTAGTTAGACACTCATAGGACAGAGTGATACATGCTTTGATGGGAGACATACAAGTAGGGGCATAATCCAGCCATGTCAGGGCTGATCAGGGTCAGGGAAGATGTCCCAGTGTTAGTGATATTGGGGTTGAGTCTGGCAGAATCAGTAGGAGTTAGTGAATGAAAGTTAGGGAGAGGAGGGAATGATGTTTCAGGAAGAGGGAACAGTGTCCACAAAGGCCCAGAGGTGAGAGGGGTATGGCTAAGCAGCATTGAAAGAGTTTTAGGGGCCAGCCCAGTGGCCTAGTGGTTAAGTTCAGGGCGCTCTGCTTCAGCGGCCTGGGTTTGCAGATTCGGATCCCGGGCCCAGACCTACACCACTCATCAAGCCATGCTGTGGTGGTGACCCACATACAAAATAGAAGAAGATTGGCAAAGATGTTAGCTCAGGGCCAATCTTCCTCAACGGAAAAAAAAAAAAAGATACTGGAAATAAATTTCATTAAAAAAAAAAAAAGAGGGCCGGCCCCGTGGCTTAGCGGTTAAGTGTGCACGCTCCACTGCTGGCAGCCCGGGTTCGGATCCCGGGCGCGCACCAACACACCACTTCTCTGGCCATGCTGAGGCCGCGTCCCACATACAGCAACTAGAAGGATGTGCGGCTATGACATACAACTATCTACTGGGGCTTTGGGGGGAAAAAATAAATAAAATCTTAAAAAAAAAAAAAAGAGTTTTAGCTTGGTAGAGTGTGACTTTAGTTCAAAGTAGGAGGAGTGGTGAGAAAAGAGTGTGACTAGTAGTGTCCACCTGAACAGGCCCTTCCCCGGCCTCTCTGCATCCTCCCCCTCTTTCTTGCCCATCTTTGAGGGCTCCTGGAAGATGCTGGGCTGGGTAAGTGGGATGGATTGGGGTGGCCAGCCCAGCTCTGGCCAAGCTCTTCTGTCTCCCCTGCCAGGGATGGTCCCTGTGGCCCAAGCAGAGTCATCAGAGGTCAGCCTGGCTGGAGGTCCCTTCCCTCCCCCTGAGGATGCCTCCACACCATTCGCCATCCCTCGTACTTCCAGCCTAGCACGGGCCAAGCGGCCATCAGTCTCCTTTGCTGAAGGTACCAAGTTTGCACCGCAGAGTCGCCGAAGCTCAGGGGAGCTCTCCAGCCCACTCCGAAAGCCCAAGAGGCTCTCCCGGGGGGCCCAGCAGGGTCCTGAAGGCCAGGAGGCAGAGGAGTCCACAGGCCCAGAGCAAGCAGAAATGGACAAGGTCCCTCCTGCTGCTGCTAGCCCCAGGGATTCAACCACTGGCCACCGCCGGCTCCCACTTGGTGGCCGGACAGTGGCTGAGCGTGTGGAAGCCATCGAGGGCAGTGTCCAGGAGAGCTCAGACTCCGTGACCACTATCTACATGCTGGCAGGGACACCCCGGGGATCTGAGGGCTCTGTCCGGTCTGCCCTCCGCCGTTTTGGTAGCTTCCAGAAAGGCCAGGCAGAGCCCAAGGTCAAGAGTGCCATCCCTAAGCCTCCACGCCGGGCCCTGAGTCGGAACAAGGGCAGCCCCGGGCTGGCCTCTAGCTCTGCCAATCAGAGCCCCGGCTCAGCCCCAAATGGGGAGCTCACAGGGACCTTGGAGTCTGTAGGAGCTGGGCCAGAGGAAGTGGCCAGGGGGCTGGGGGATGGCATCAAGAACTCAGGGAGGGCCCAGGAGCCGGCCCCCGAGGGTATTCCCTCAGAACAGGATCCCCAGAAGCTGGCTGAAGAGGAAGGGCAGGAGGAGCCTCAGTATGAGAATGTTGTACCCATCTCTGGGCCACCAGAGCCCTGAGGACCTTGAATTTGGGGAGTGGGAAGACTATGGATGGGGGTGGGCATTGAATTGCTCCTGGATTAGATTGTGTTTTGTGTTGGAAAAAGATCCCAGGGCCAGGAAAGACATAGCAGAGCCTCTGCCCTTCCATGGGGAAATGTGAGTGAGAGGCCAGTTGGCTCCTGGCCCTGGCAGTGCTCTGGGAGTGGTCTGGAAGGCCTGGGCAGAGACCCCACAGGATGGGGTCAGGAAGGGGGAAGAGATGGCTGCAGGGACTTTTTCTCTTTGTCCTGGACTCTGTTTGCCCCCGAAGGCTGTTCTTTCCTTCATCTGCAAAACATTTTTCGGAAATGGGAAATAACCTAAATGTTTGATGATAAAAGATTGGTTAAAGAAATATTTCTTATGATAAGGTCCTAAACAACCACAAAAAATCATGTTATGCAAGAATATTTAATATGGGCAATATGGGAGAATGTTCATGCTATACCGTTAAGTGTAAAAAGTAAGTTTTCTTTTTATAAATTTCATGTCTTTTTGCCTCAGGATACATGTTTAGATTCTTCCATCTTGTGTATATTCTGTGATTGCTTTACACACTTTTTTTTTTAAAAAAGGATGTATGTACATTAAAAAGATTCGAGAGAAAGGCATCATATGGCATTTTTCTCTGGGAGATGAGATTGTGGCTGATATTTATTTTCTTAAACTTTTGTATAATTTGCAAATTTTCTACAGTGAACATTCTTTTTACTTTTCTCCCTAGATTGCATTTTTTAAAAAAATTGTAACAAAGCAATGTTCTTTGTTAAAAATAAAAAGTACTAACATTACGGACATGTATAAAGTAAAAATGAGATTTCCCTTCTCCCCAGAGGAGTCTGAGGGACAAGGGAGGGACTAAACTTACTTTCCACTGAATGCCTTTTGGTCTTGTTTTGCTTTCTTTCCTCACATAGTACTTGTATTGCCTAGTCAGGAAATGAAGAGTGGCCTCGCCTTCTATCCCAGGGCTCAGAGAAGCTCATGAACAGTAGAGATGCTTCATTTCAGATGTTTTCCTGTGCATATGAAAACAAAAGAGCATATTGTTCTGCAATTTGCTTTTTTACTTAACAATATATCCTGGATATCTTTCAATGTCAATAAATATAAAGCTACCTCTTTATAAAAAATGGCTACATGGGATTCCATCATGTGGAAATACACAGGTTATTTAAACCATCCACTACGTATGGGGATATGGGTTGTTTCTAATTGTGTTGATACAATAAATGATGCAATTTACAACTTTGTCCATATTTCTTTTTGTACTTGTGCAAGTTTTTCTGTAGAAGAGTTTCCTAGAAGTGGAATTGCTGGGTTATGGGGTAAGAACATTAAACATTTGTATACTTACTGCAAATTGCCCTTCAAAAAAGTCGTATGGTTTTGTACTCACACAAATTATGGCAGCATCTATCTCTCCAATCTGAGAGGTTAAAAATGGCAACTCATTATTTTAGCACAATAAAGATAAGTAAATAAAGTAATAGCATGTTAAAGCTTCTCAAAAAGTTAAAATCTTTGTATAGCTAAAAGGTTTTGGTTTTTGTTTTTTAATCATCAAAAATACTATCATTGGGGCTGGCCCCATGGTGTAGTGGTTGAGTTGGGCACATTCCGCTTTGGCGGCCAGGGTGGTTCGGATCCCGGGTGCGGACCTATACCACTTGTCAGCCATGCTGTGGTGGCAACCCACATATAAAGTAGAGGAAGATTGGCACAGACATTAGCTCAGGGCTAATCTTCCTCAGCAAAACAAATAAACAAAAAACCTATCATTAAAATTTGAATTTCTATGATTTTTCTAAGGTTGAGCTTCTCTTCATATCTTTAATAGTTATTTGTATCTTTCCTATAGATTATCTGCTTATATACTTTCCCCAGTTTTCCACTGAGGTGTTCATCTTCTTCTCACTGATTTATAAGTGCCTTTATATATATCAAGGGTAGTAATTCTTTGCCCAGTTTGTGATTGGTTTTTAAATGCTGTTTATAGTTTCCTTCTTTTTTTCTGTATAGAAATTTGAATTTTTGATTTAGACAGTCTTTTTTTTTTCCGAATCAAACTATACCAGTTCTTTTTTTTTTTTTTTTGTGAAGGAAGATCAGCCCTGAGCTAACATCCATGCTAATCCTCCTCTTTTTGCTGAGGAAGACTGGCTCTGAGCTAACATCTATTGCCAATCCTCCTCCTTTTTTTCCCCAAAGCCCCAGTAGATAGTTGCATGTCATAGTTGCACATCCTTCTAGTTGCTGACAGTCTTTTTCTTTTTGACTTCTGGGCTCCATGTCACGCTTGGTGGAACGGTCTTCTCTATCCCAAAATCAGTGAAATAATCTTCTACATTTTCTTCTAGTACTTTAGTGGTTTTATTTCGTTATGATTTGCCAACAGTGCTGGTGTTGGGGCTTTAACACTCCTAACGAAAAAGACTGGAAAAAAACCCAACAGACTTTCCGTTCAAATAGACTTGGGTTCAAATCTCAGTCCTTACATACTTGTTCTGTGACTTTGGAAATGTTACTTAAAGCCCCAGTTTTTTCATCTGAAAAATGGGGATAATGGCCATCTCCCAGGGTTATTGTGGGGATTAAATGACACAATGTATGTAAAATGCCTAGTAAATTTTTAGCTCTCGATAAAGAGTAATTATTGGCATTACCATCATTCTCCCAGCTTTGACTCCTTTGTCCCTAGAAACTGATACCTTTCACTCTTTTCATTGTTCATGTTTTCATTCAATAAACTCATATTGTGCGTCTGCTTTGTGCTTACTTCTGTATTAAGGGCTGGTTATATGAAGTTGAATAAGACATAGTTCGTGCCCCTAAAGAGTTCATAGTCATCGGGAAGAGAGACAGACAGATGAACAGTCATAATTATAAAACAATGCAATCAGCCGATAAAGTGGAGAGTATTGTGGGGAGTGGTAAGGGAAGACTTCCTGGAGGAGGTGCTGTCCAAGAAGAGATTTTGTTTGAAGGCCAGAGGTGAGAGAACAGCATGTGCAGGAACCACAAGCAATTCCATGTAATTGGAACATCTAGGACCAGGGAGGTCAACCAGTCTCCAGAGAGAGGAAGAGACTGGTGGGGAGAAGCCTGTGTGAGTCAGCTTGGAGAACTCAAACCTCACCCTGCAGGACAAATGGAAAAGAGTTTCTGAAGGATTTTAGCAGTGGTCATATTTACCAAGGTCACATTTACATTTCCCATAGCTCATTGGATGGGGTGGGGTGGAGAGATGGATTTGTGGAGCTAAGAGTGGAGGCTGGATGAACAGCAGTCCTAGGGAAACAGATGGGCAAATTAGATAAATATATAGGAGACAGGGCTGTATTGGTGGAGGGGGGTGGGGTAAAGGAGTAGGAGAATAACAGCAGGTGCCCAACAAGCATTTGTTGAAAGGATGGTTCACAGTATCTAATTTCTGTAGATAGTGGTGCTATTATCTGAGAAAGAATGGGAGGAACAGTTTTGGCAGGGGGGAGAAAGTGAATAATTAAGACATGTTTTTGAAACAGTTTAGAGATGCATACGGAACAGCTGCCCAGAGACAGCACTCAGGCAGGTGGATCTAAGAGGAGGGAGGGAAGGACTGAAATTTGTCAAGTGGCAGTCACAACCTTGTGAGAGGGTGAGATTCTGCAAGGGAGGTAACTGGATGGGTAGGTAACCAGCCAGGATCCCCCAAGCCCTCAGCGCCAGGCGGGGTCTGAGCGAGGTTGCCAGTGGCGGGTTCACGGCGGCAGGGGGCGCACTCGCACTGGAGGACGTGGAGCATCCCATAGCCTTGGGATGCTAAGGCAGCTCCCAGAACGTGCTAGGGAGACCAAGCCGAATCCGGGGGACACCGAGGGTCCTCTGAGGTCGGGCTAGTGCCTCAGATCGGGGAGATGCAGCGGGGCACCTGAATCTCCAGAGCCCGCCCTCCATTCCCCTGTCCTGGCAGTTCCTCGGGGCAGGTCCAGCTCGCTGATCAGCCTGGGCGTCCGGGCCCTTCCTGACCCCACGCGCTCTCCCGTAGGCCTGACTTGTGCTCACAGCTCGGCGCTGCCCCCAGCGTCACCCTGCAGAGAGGGCCCCTACCTAAAGGAGACTTCCGGGGTGGCCCTTTCCTAAACGGGGTGAGGTGGCGCATGACAGTGGGTATGGGGTGGTCAACTCAGGCAGGGAGCACCAAGATGACCGGTCCGGGTGGGGGGGTCCCCGAGGGCACCAAGGAGAGCGGGAATGGGATGAGGGGGTAACAGTCTGGATGGGGCACCAGAGGAGACACCGTCATAGGGGACAAAGAAGCCCCAAACTCCCACCTGAGGATCCCCGAGGAACACCTTCCAGGGACCGAGCAGATGGCACTCAGGAGAGGGGTCAGTGAATCAGAAGAGCAGGGAAGAGGCACACCACGCCTGGATAGGGGTCCGGGGATCCGGGATGTGCAGACAGCGCCTGGATGGGGGACACTGGGGACAGGAGAGCGAGGAATCAGAACACAAAGCCCGAGGCAGCCGGGATGGCAGCGCTGCGTGGGGAGGCGGCGGGAGCAGAGAGACCCACGCGGAGCCAGAACATCGGGGCGTGGTGCCCAGAGCAGAGCGGAGGCTGGGGCCTGTGTAGCGGGCCGGAGGAGAGCTGAGTGCGGGAGCCGAGCTGGGTGCGCGAGGAGGCCGGGCGCGCAGCAGTGGAAGTCCGGGGGGCCCCGAAAAGCGGAGCCGGGGATTCAAACCAGGGGCAGGGCTTCGGGGTGAGGCTCTGGAGAAGCGATGGGGCAATACTCCCGGGGGTTCCCACCCCGGCCGCGACTCCAGTTTAAGGCGGCAGAGCTGAAGCACGGCCCGACACTGTCCCCAGCCCCCCCCCAGCTCTCTTGTTTGTCTTCAAGTCCGGCCGGAACCGGCTTCGGCTCGCTGCCGGGCGGGCGGGTAGTGATTGGTCAACGCCTGTTTCCAGCCCCCACTCAGCCAATCAGTGCGCAGCAGTGTTTTCATCTTCGGGTCGGAATAAAAGGGCTTGAATAAAAGGGGGCAAACAAGGCACCGGCCGGGTCCGATACACACCAGTAGGAGCCAGGTGAGTAGGTTCTGGGAGTCTAGGTTCTGGGAGTCTGGGCCCTGGGCAAGGGTGCGGTGGGCAGAAGGCGCACGAGTGGGGACGGAGGGAGATGTGTGAATATGAGACTGGATGGATGAGGAGCTACCAGGGAAGAGATGACGAAGAGAGGAGAGAGCTAGAGGATGGAGGGACGGGGGTCCACTTCCATGGAAACGGGCTAATTGCCGAGGAAACGGCCTGGGATGGGGGTCGCGCGTGTGGCTCGCGCCGCCGGTTTGAACCGGCTTCGCCTCTCCCATGCGGGGTTCGCGTGGCCGCAGCGCCTAGCGACCTAGACAGCGGCCAATGGCGCGGCAGTTCCTGTGCCGCTGGGCCAATGAGCGAGTCTTGGGCGGGTCGTTCCGGAGCTGGGTGAGCTGATCTTGTGGTTGAAGGAACCGGCTCTGGGAAAGGGTCTCGAGTGCGGGTGGGAGGGCGCCTGTTAGGGTCCCAGGACAGTGGCAGCCCTCAGGTATGCCCCTGCCCAGGTATCCGCACCTCCAGCCGCCTCCCCTGTCAGCCCCCAAGCTGTGTCAATCTTGCTGGGAGCCAGGACTAATTCCACGTCCCTGAGCATGCGTTAGTCCCATCCTGCTTCCATGCCTCAGTTTACCTTTGAGTGAGCTGAGGGAGACGTCGCCCTGCCTGGCCGGGGCGGCTCTCCCGTAGCCGAGGGCAGACGTACGAGCCAGCCGCGGAGAGGGTGGCCCAGGTGCGGGGCAGGGCTGGGGCTTCCTTCGCTGCTCGCACTACAGCCGGGGTCGCGGAGGGGTGCCGAGTTCCGCGCGCTGCGGCAGCGGCCGGGGGTGGCTGCCCGCGCTGGGCAGGGCCGGGCGCTGACGCCTAGGTCTGTGCGCAGGTGGCTGCAGAGCGGGAGCCGGGCCGCCGCGCCGCACCATGGCGCCCACCCTGGCCACTGCCCATCGGCGCCGCTGGTGGATGGCCTGCACGGCCGTGCTGGAAAACCTCCTCTTCTCGGCAGTCCTCCTGGGCTGGGGCTCGCTGCTCATCATGCTCAAGTCGGAAGGCTTTTACTCCTACCTGTGTACTGAGCCAGGTAAGACGGGCGCCTCGGGCTCGGGGTGGTTCCTGGAGTAGGGGCTTTGAGAGAGGGCGGCATGGCGGTGAAGACCTAGCCAGCAATACCACCTCACTACGCAGCTTCTCCCCATTAGCAGAAGGCCCATTTGATCCTCACCCAGCTCTGCTGGGTACGTATCATTGTCCCGGTTTTGTGCATGAAGAAACCGAGGCTCAGACAGATCTTCTGACTTATGCAAGGCCACACAACTGGGGACTGTGATAGATCCAGAACCCCCGAGTCCAGAATGTTCTTTCCACCACCTGGGAACATTGCTGGGCTCCTCTCCTCCCAGGGCCTGGCACATCACTTGCCTTGCAGTAAACATGTTGCTGCCTGACTGTCAGAAAGAGGAACTCCTGACTTAGTGGCTGGGGTGCAGCAAGAGAGAGGAAGTGGTTTGGCCTCCACCCCATGGAAGGAATCTAGATGTTTTTTAGTCAGGCCGTTATGGGGTCTCTTAAGGGTTTGCTGGATACGATTTCTTGTATATTTTTGCTGCTTTATGATTTTCCAAAGGACATTTCCTCCCGCAGGCCTTAAGAACATCTTGGTGGCCTTCCACCCCCCATGGTGGGGGAGGGGAAGAGAGGCAAGGGGGGTATTTATGGAAATGATACTAGGCCTGTCCTCTCCCTTTGCCACACCATTGGTGTTGCTGAATACAGACTGAGGATGCTTGTCTACAAGAAATCTAACCCCCACCCCTACCTTCACACGCCCCAACCCCATTTGAGGCTCCTAATTGCTGCAGGTCAGTAGGTGCAGCCCAACAGTGGGATCCAAGTGGCTCCCAACCTCTACCCTCCTACCCCGCTTCCTAGGCAACCTTCATAGGAAATGTTTCCCTCTGCCCTCTCGCTGTCCCCAACAGTGGCTACCTAATAGTTGAACTCAGTAATGTCTCCCCCCAGTGCCGTTGTCAGTCAGCCCCTGCCCGAGTCCCCTTAGAAGGAGAGAGCCCAAGTTTGACCCCTCGAATCACACCACCAGCGTGATTTTTCTTCCTAGAGTTCTAACTTTGGGGGAAGGGAAAGCTTTGGACCAGCTCATGCTGCCTGTAACCCTGTGTAGAATCTTCCATGTTTCCCTTCTCTGATCTTCCCAGGAGATTCCTGAGTGTTCCAGTCTCTAGAGAAGCTTTGCTGGAGAGGTTAAGGGCAGGAAAAAGGGAGGAGATACAGAGGCCGCCTGAGGGAAGGCAGAGAGTATATCATTTATAACCTTTAGCCTTTAGCTACTGAGAAACGTTTCCTAATAGCCTAAGGGTTCTTGGCAGACCTTTCCCCACATCAGCAAGAAATCTTGGGAGATGGGAGAGTCATTCAGACCTTGTTCCTTGAACAGGCTTTCTGCTTTGCCTAACAGATGTTGGGAGATTAATGATTCTCTGGAAGGAACAGGTTAGAGTGTTTGGCTCCTCCTCTCCCTCCCTCTCTCGTCTCAGATCGTGACCCTTGCTGCTTGCTTCCTGATGGGCTCTTTCAGGCTGCACAGAGGGTGTAAAAAACAGAAAGAAACGTCGTCATCCTCAGATGAAGCTTTTAGCATCTCATCCAGACTGGAGGACTATTATGATCTATACATATATATATATATTTTTTAGACCCACTGTGGTGTCAGATTCTAGGATTTTTCCCCAGTTTGTCCACTGATTTAATTTATTTTATGATATTGGCACCACTGGGACTAGTCACTTCATTCCTGCCTCAACCTTGGCTTCCTCCTTCATTTGAGTGGGAGGAGTCCCAGAGATTGTGCCGACGCAGTGCTGAGTCGGTGTTGAAGCCCTTGAGAGGCTTGATGGTCCTTCCTATAAACCAAAGTGAAGGTGAAGGGTCAAGATTGTGGGTTGAACATCAACTTCTTATCCCGTGCCTTTGCTCCTGCCTCTAATTTTGGTTTCTCTGACTATCTGGCAAACCTGCTGACCCAGCATCCTCGCCAGGCAAGCCTGCTGATTCTACACAGCTTATCATTCTGGCCTCCCTGTTCCTTGCTTCTTGAAGTCTGTGTAGCCTGTTGCTTTTTAGGGCCAGGAATCGCCGTGCCTTGCCTAACTGGGAGTGCCTAGAGGGTTTAGGATCAAGGTTTCTGCTTAGGCCTAATATTTTCAAACTGAACCGCAGAGAAGCAGTTAGACCATTTATTCAGCTTATTGAATTAGACTTGTGAAAAGCTGACCAGTCTACAGCTGATTGAGATGCAAATTTGTCAAGTTTTTGTTGCTTTTAGGACTCATGCTTTGGTTTGTTCTCTAAAGAAAATTTGCCCGAACCTGTTCAAACGTTCTCAGAACTCTTTCTTGGGATTCCAGCCAGAATCTGGCCACAGACATGGTGTTGGGTTCCAGCTTGGTGAGGTGGGAGAAGGCAAGAAAGAGCCCGTTTCCCTGTAGCCCCTCACTCTTTGCCTTGCCCACCAGACAGTCAGGACTTTTGATAGGGGCTGGACATTCGGGCTTTGCCTCTGCAGTCCCCCTGGTGTGGACAGGAGACCCACTGGGATCCCAGCCTGGGAAGAACGGGGCTTTCCCAGTACTGTATCCTTTTGGCCTCTGGATGCCCACTGTAACCACCCACGCCTGACCTCTTTCTGCATTTTCTCTGTTGTCCGGTGGCCCACTTAGACAGGTCAGCTCAGGGGACCGATGCTACCTGTGGATGTTTAATCTCTTTCATCCAACCTACAGCTTCCCTAGACATTTACTGAGGTGCTGTGCCGAGGGTGCTGAGGGAGTCTGCAGTCTGCCAGCGTCAAACGAGTCATCACACACAGACTTATATAATTCCAGGTGGTGGTCAGGACTCCAATAGAGAGGCAGGTGCCAGGAGCGAGAGTGACACTGGGGATCTGGTTCATCTTGGGTGGGAGGACTTCTTTGATATTTGGGCAGAAGTGTTGAGGGTGGGGAGGGGTGAGGTGGGAGAGGAAAGGGCAAGGGGAGGAGAGAAAGGACTGGCGAGGCAGGAGATGACTGGAGAGGTGGAAAGAGGCCTGGGAGGCCACATGGGGAGATTGGATTTTATTCTCAAGGCAGGAAGAAACGATGGAGGCCAAGGAGGGCGGTGATCAGATTCACCTATTAAATTCTTATGAATTGTTGAGAGCTTGCCACGTGCTGGGCGTTGGGTGGGGTGGGGGCTATGAAGGTGGGAGATGTGGCCTCTGCCCGAGGAAGTCACAGTCCAGTCCAGCCGTGGACGCCAAGGCAGACCCCAGTTCTGTGCTCTTGACCACTGCAGTCACTCTGCCTGTGGTGGCAGGGGAGATGCACCCCTCACTGAAACAAACAGGAAGCTGGGCCCTGAGGCCGTGATTGGGCAGAGGGGCTGCCGTCACCCAGGGAAGCAGGGCCAGGCCTCGTTCCCACCAGGCTGGGCCAAGGCTGCAGATGTGGACAGGAGATATTTCCAGCTGCTTCGAGCCCCTCCCTTTGTGTGATCTCCTCCTGCATCCAAAGGACAGTGGTTGAAAACCCACGCTTTCACTTCATATTGCTGTGAATGTGACTTTTCACCTTCTCCCCCCGTTTATTTTGGATTAAAAAAAAAATTCTGTAGTAACGGGTAAGAAAGTCTAAAGATTGGTGCCCGCAGCCTCAGGATGTGTCACAGAGAGGAGCTGGCGCCCCTGGCCCTCCCTGCCGACCCTGCCTTCCTCCTCCCATTTCATGACCTAATTTCTCTCCCCAACATCCACTGGTCCCGTGTGGCTTCTTGGGTCCCTTTAAGGCCCTGCCCAGTTTGGGTTGGCTTTCAGGGACCTCATGAGAGGGTGTTAGGGGCAGTCCCATTCTCACTAGGTGACATTAAGGGCCACCTGGTGTTGCTCCAACACTGTGACAGCCTTGTGCCGCCTCCGTTCTCGCAGCATTTCCTCTGAAACACCTCTAACCCGGGTGGTGCAGCCTCAGCACAGCCTGAGGCTTAAAGCAGGAGCTTCAGGGTCTGACAGGCTGGACTCAAGGCCAGCTTCCCTGTGTACCATCTATGAGACTCGGGGCAGCTGACCTGCTCTGAGACTCCTGGTATCCTGTGTGGAATATGGGGTGCGGGTGGGAGGGCGCTAAGTGACACAGGAACAAATGCATTGAACTCAGCAGCCAGCACACACAGGCACTCTGACCACAACGGGGGGCTCAGCCCTCGCCTACCCGGGATGGCTCTCTGATTGCCTGTGTCCTGCCTCTTGTTTGCCCTGTGTCTGAGACTGACCTCTCACTTACATCCCCCCTGCTGGACTGAGATGCTGCTTCCTGTTGCCGGATAGACTAAGGATTTGAGAGCGACAGGAGATCCTGGGGCAGGGACAGGCAGCGCAGGGAGGGCCAGGGGCCTGTGCCGGGGGACGGGGACTGTCAGAGAGCAGCCAGTGAGAGAAAGCGGGTGCTCAGGGGTTTAGAGGGGCCTCCAGCCAGGTGCCCCTTTGCTCTCTCAAGCATCACCCGGCCAGCTATTCTGGAGGCTCCCTGCTCCCTTTGTTTCCGTGGGGTGGGGGGAGCCTCTTCTTTGACCTAGGGGTGTCAGGGGAGCCTGAGCGGGGTCATAGCACCCCCTTTTCTCCCCTGCTTTCTCTGTAAAGGTTTTGTGTGTGAGTCTTCTGTGAGTGGGCCCACATAGTGCAGGCATTGTTCTGGCTTCCCTGCCCTTGGGTCTCCTCCTAAGCAGCCGGACGCCTGTTCTTGGCACACTCTGGCCACACCAATTCATCACCTGTCTTCTTGGTTCACCTTCCCTGGCTGGGCTGGGCCACTCTGGCCACCCACTGTGGAGGTGTCTGTTTAATAAACAGGTGCAGGTGAGGCGCAGAGCAGGCTGGGCTGGGGTGAGGGCTAAGCTCTAGGCCGGGAGCAGAGGGGCACCCTGGGAGCCGGGCACTTCCTGGGTGCTTGTCTGTTTGTGTCTGTCTGGCCCACACTGGCCCAGCTGGGGACCTGGGTGTGACTGTTTGGGCATCTGCTGGATTTGTGATCATCTGTGTGCGCTGTTTACTGCCAACAAAGCTTCTGGGCTCCCCGAAGGTTTAGTTCCCTCTGGGAGCCAGAACACTCTTGCACTGCTCCATGGACAGACAGGAGAAGCCATGCAGACTCCCCAGCCCCCGGCTCATCTGTTGCTGGACATCACTGCCTGGAGGCAGGAGGGCAGAGGGCTAGGTGGCCGTATTGGCAGGGATTTGTTTAAGGAGAGAAGGCTGGTGGCCTGAAGTGAAAGGTCCCTGCTCCTGTGTGTAGTGGCTCCAGGATAAAAGATGAGAGGGACAGATATCCTTCCCTCTATCTGACCTCTCTCATGAGCCCCCCTGTCTAGTTACAGGGGTGACCAGATCTCTAAACGATTCAAGATGTTTCTGCCCACATCCCCACTTAGAGCAAATCGGAGAGACTGCCTTGGGTACATTGCCTTGGGATTTTGTCTTCTCTCTCAGTGAGTACGGTCATGGATTTCGGGGTCCAGCTGCGGTCCCCTCTGGGGAAACTGGGGGCAGGATGCCCTGGTGCTTCTACTCATAGGCACTGCTGCCTCGCCCCCTCACTCCCTGTCCAGCTCTGGCTCCCTGCTTGCAGCAGCAGACCCTGCAGCTCTCCAAGCCCTATTTTGTGTCTCCTAATGGGCTCCAGACCCTGCATGGCCACAATCAGGTCTCAGAAGCCAGCGATCCTGGACCCCGGGGCGTCCTCCACACCCCTCCACTCTGTTGCACCCATGCTGGCTGGCTCATATCTGCACACCAACTTGGAAATGGCTGTTGCTGTGCAGAGACCCTGTCCTTCCACTTCACGTCCAGTTCCTGTTGCTGCTGGCACAGCTGACACCTGAAACCAGTGCCAACCTGTGAAGCAGCTCTGCCTTTCCAGAAGCTGCCCCACAGTGGATGAGCAGTTCAGGCCTGCCGGCTAAGGCAGTGTGTGCGACAGTTCCGAGCCGGCTCCTGATGGGCTCAGATGACCCTGTTCGTCATGTGTTTTGGCTGCCTGGGTAGTGGGTCCTCTTTTGGAAAACAGAGAAAGCGGTGGGGTTGGGGGTGGGAATCTGACTTGTTAGGTTTTATTTCTGTGGCTTCAGCAGGTTAACATTTCGGCTGTAATCTCCTTAAGTCCCCTCTGTCTTCAACCTGATCTCATACGTCCTATTTCCTTTCTTCTCTTTTGATCCTTTTGGCTGCTGTGATTCTATTCTGTTGTTTTCATTCATTCAGTAAACAACGACACAGGTGGTCGTGGTTGAGGTGCCAGGGACACCGGTGACTAGAACACAGACCCTGCCCTTCAGGGCTCCCAGCCCAGACTGGACATGAATTTATGCTATCACACAGTTATGGACCTCTGCTCCCAGTTACTACGTCTGGCTCTGCTGCCAGCTAGTTGCATCATCACCCCCGTCCTGAGCCTCCAATAATAGTAATAATAATAATAGCAATAACAATAACTCTTAGCTATTATTTATGGAGCACTTGCTATGCCTGTGTGAACTCTAGAATTTTATCTGGTTTTTCTCATTTATCTTCCCCAAAACTGTAGGAGGTAGATACTGTTATTCTATTATGCCCATTTTACAGATACAGAAATTGAGATAGAGTGAGATTACGTCATTTCTCCAAGGTTACGCAAATAGTAAATGGAGGAGCCAGCACTGGAACCCGCACCTCGTCCTCCATCAGTGTGCCCCTGGCAGGGCTTGTTGGCCAGAAGTTGGCATATGACATAATTCACCCAAAGTGCATCCTTTTCTGTGACCTTGGGGGCAGCCCTGAGAGGCCTGGGCAGGCCTTTGCAGACCTCAGCTTTACAGCCTTGGCGCCAGAGGGCCGCAGTCGGGAGGCATGCAGTTATCTGAAGAGAGGTATTTCCTTGAGTCTCCTGGTGTGACCCCGCGTCTAATCAGAGGCTGCTCCTCTTTCTGCAGGATTAGTCAGCATCTCTTAACTAGCAGTCCCAGAGAGGAGAGAGTTCCTCAGCTGCATTCCCAGCAGCCTGTCCCCCACCCTCCCGCCCTCGGCTGCCACAGCACTTTTTCCCAGTTCTGTTGTCTTACTGCTGGGTGGACCTTGGAGGGGGCCATTAAGGGCTGGGATTACAGCATGGGTATGGTCACAGGGAACAGGAACATGATGACCCCAGCAAGAAAAATAAGTAAGGTGCATCTCAACAAGTGAAGGCAAATAACTTTGGACTATTAAGGAAAAAAAACCTTTTCTCAAGGGGTTCTACGACACAGTGTATGTGGTGGTTAAAGCTATGAAATATGAAAGTATCAGGGAAGGAGGTGGCGTATGGACTGTATGTTTGAGAAGTCTGCTTTGCACTCACTCTTCCTCAAACTGACCAAGGAGACCCAGGGCATTACAGCGAGACCTGCAGCTTGTCCTTCCCAGGGGTACTGGGGTCGGCCTTCTGGGTACTGGCTGTAGCCTGTTTTGGACAGAGCTGCCGAGCAGGGTCTAGCCAGCCTGGGACCCCACAGCCAAGGCTGGGTTCTGAGGCCTGCTATTCTAGGGTGCAGGTTACTCTAGAATGGGAATCCCAACCTGGGGCTCATGTGCTTCAAGGGACACATGAAGCCCCTGAAATTGTGGGTAAGATGTTGTATGCATTTTTTGGGACACAGGAGCATGGCTTTCTTTATTGGGTTTGCCAAAGTGTCTGTGACCCTGAAAAATGTTGAGAACCTCTGCATTATTGCTCCAGGGGACTTGGACCAGATAGACATCCAGGCTTGCTGTGGGGTAGCCTGAGCCCTCAAAGGGCCTAAAGCCAGTCCTGCCATTCCCAGTGGGGTGACTCTGCCCCTCTGATCTTTGGGAATCCCTGCCATGACCCTGTGATCTGGGTTCCCTCCCTCTACACACACAGAGAATGTCACCAACGGCACAGTCGGGGGCACAGCAGAGCCGGAGCATGAGGAGGTGAGCTGGATGAATGGCTGGCTCAGCTGCAAGGCCCAGGACGAGATGCTAAACTTGGCCTTCACCGTGGGCTCCTTCCTGCTCAGTGCCATCACCCTGCCCCTGGGCATTGTCATGGACAAGTACGGACCAAGGAAGCTCAGGCTGCTGGGCAGGTCAGTGCAGGGTTGGGGGGCAGGCAGATGGACCCCTGGGCTGTGTTCCCTCCTCTAGGGAATCCTGGTACCTGCTCTTAGGTGCACTGTGGAGCTCCCTAAATGCCTGCCCAGAAGCAGCTTCCTACTCCATCTGCCTCCAAATCAGTAGGTACTGTGATGCTTGCAATGTGCCAGTACTGCATAAAGAAGGCACAGGGATGGGCCGGCCTGGTGGCATAGTGGTTAAGTGTGCGTGCTCCGCTTTGGCAGCCTGGGGTTCGCGCATCCGGATCCCAGCACAGACCTACACACCGCTCATTAAGCCATGCTATGGCGGCGTCCCACATACAAAATAGAGGAAGTTTGGCACAGATATTAGCTCAGGGATAATCTTTTTTTTTTTTTTTTTTTAAAGATTTTATTGATTTTATTTTTTTCCCCCCAAAGCCCCAGTAGATAGTTGTATGTCATAGCTGCACATCCTTCTAGTTGCTGTATGTGGGACTCGGCCTCAGGATGGACGGAG